GCATAACTGATTCATACCCTATTTGCAGCTGTTCTCACACTGATGCTTGTGTTGATTGTTTTTTCCAGCAGTGCAGGGTAGATTATCAACTGGTTTGTAATCAAAACGGCTTGTTTATATCACAGTGAGTTATACTTCACTAATTTGAGTTCACTGAGAAATTTTACTTCCTGAGCTTCCATGGTTAAAGATTTGTAATGCTCAGATCTTCTTTGATGTTTATTCCATCAGATAAAACTACTTTGTCTTAGTGTTGCCAAATGGAAAAGAGCCTTTGGTTTGGCCAGAGTCTCTGTGATAGTGACATCTGGCAGTTCTTCCCTCCTGAGGAGTTTCCCTGCTCACCCGAGTCTCTCTGATCCTAGTACTGCCTGTCAGAGGCAGCTGGTCCACTGAGTGCCAAGCTTGCTCTCCTTTGGAGATCCAGCTGTACTTTCTGCTTAGCTATGAGGCATCAAGGATTTTGCTTTTGCAGGGGGAAGAGTTTTTGTTCTGTGAACTAAACTTGCTTTCTTTTGGAAGGTTTACTGGATTGGTAGATTATTAGTCCACTCATATCTTTCAACAGTTTGGCCATGTCTTTTTTTTTTTTTTGAAATGGAGTTTCACTCCAGTCATCCAGGCTGGAGGTCAGTGGTGCGATCTGGGCTCCTGCAACCTCTGCCTCCCTGATTCAAGCAATTCTCCTCCCTCAGCCTCCCAAGTAGCTGGGATTACAGGCGTGTACCACCACACCTAGCTAATTTTTGTATTTTTAGTAGAGACAGGTTTTTGCCATGTTGGCGAAGCTTGTCTTGCACTCCTGACTTTAAGTGATCTGCCCCACCTCGGCCTCCCAAAGTGCTGGGATTACAGGTGTGAGCCACCACTTCTGGTTGGCCATGTCTTTTTCCCTTTTCCTTTTGTTTTTAGATGGAATTTAGCTCTTGTTGCCAGGCTGCAGTGCAGTGGTGTGATCTTGCCTCATTGCAACCTCCGCTTAGCAGGTTCAAGCGATTCTCATGCTTCAGCCCACTGAGTAGCTGGGATTACAGCTGCCTGCCACCACGCCCAGCTAATTTTTTGTATTTTTAGTAGATATGGGGTTTCACCATGTTGGCCAGGCTGATCTTGAACTCTTGACCTCAGCTGATCTGCCCACCTCAGCCTCCCAAAGCGCTGAGATTACAGGTGTGACGCATCATGCCCCGCCAACATGCACTGTAATTTGTGTTTTAAAAAAATAAAACAGTGTTCAGTATTTTGGTAGAACAAGCTTGGTACTATTTTTGATTGAATAATGTGAGTACTAAGAAAGAAAATATTTAGTAAAAGGTGTCCCAAAAGGTGGAGATAGTAATCCCACTGAAATGTGAGTAGCCATACTAGGAATTCTGTGGTTGGTTTTGAATTTTATACTTTTAGGAGGATGTGGACAAAAGAGAGTGCTTATAGGGTGATATATGTCCCAACCAGGGCACATGAAGACTGATTGAAGAAAGGTTTCCTACTTGCTTGATAATTATAACAGCTGTCTCCAGCTCTGTTCCAGAAACAACATAAGCCTGCTTATGAATTTTTTTATATTTGAAATGATAATGGATTCCATGTGTTGATCACCTGCTTTGTGCCAAGTATATACATTATCTATAACCTTTTCTCCAACTCCTTGAAATAGTTGGTATTCTTCCCTTAAGAATCTGGATAGACTAGCTTGCACAGCTAATTTATGCTGCTGATAAAGGGTAGACCTGGGATTTACAGTTGTGCTGTTTGTATTATGCCATACTACCCCTGGCATGAGCATGCAGTGAGGCTGTAGGTGGTGGGCACTTTCCCTCTTCTGCTTATGAGCAGGTTAATTCCTGAAATGTAGAATGGCATTGAATAGTCATAGTAGACAATATTAATTGAGCACTTATTATGTGCCATACACCTTTCTAGGCTTTTTGCATTTAATTTATTTAATTCTCACAACTCAGCAAAGTTGTTATGATTATCATCTCCATCCTGCACCTGAGGAAACTGAAGCAAGGGGCATAGGTGGAAGAACTCGGATTTGGAATAGGCTGTCCAGCAACGCAACACACACTTAGCCCCTGCGCTGATTGCCTTATGTAGATGACCAGTGTATGTACACATGAGTACAGAGTTTTTGCTTTTGTTTTTGAGATGGAGTCTTATTCTTGTTGCTCAGGCTAGGGTGCAATGGCACCATCTTGGCTCACTGCAACCTCCACTTCCCGGGTTCAAGTGGTTCTCTTGCCTTGACATCCTGAGTACCTGGGTCTACAGGTGTGCACCACCATGTTCAGCTAATTTTTCTTTCTTCTTCTTTTTTTTTTTTTTTTTGAGACAAAGTGTTGCTTTGTCACCCAGGCTGGAGTGCAGTGGCATGATCTTGATCCACAGCAATTTCTGCCTCTTGGGTTTAAGTGATTCTTCTGCCTCAGCCTCCCAAGTAGCTGGGACTACAGGCACGCACCACCATGCCTGGCTAATTTTTATATTTTTTAGTAGTGACAAGGGTTTACCATGTTGGCCAGGCTGGTCTTGAACTCCTCATCTCAAGTGATCTGTCCACCTTAGCCTCTCAAAGTGCTGGGATTACAGGCATGAGCCCCCGTGCCTGGCTAATTTTATATTGTTAATAGAGTTGGGGTTTCGCTATGTTGGCCAGGCTGGTCTTGAACTCCTGACTGCAAATGATCTGCCTGCCTTGGCTTCCCAAAGAGCTGGAATTATAGGTGTGAGCCACTGCACATGGTTCCAGCCTTAGTCTTTTTTAACCTACAAAATGGCAAGTTTATATGATTTAACCTAATATAGGTCAAAAAAAGGATATTCTAAATAAACTATTTTTTGTTTTAGAAAAGAATTGTAGGATGTATTAAAGGTTTGTGTTTTGAACTTCTCCACTGACATACTTTTTCTGTCCAGTTATTTGTCTGAGAAGTGTGTATTCTATTTCACATTGTGTCACTTGTGCTTCTTTTTTATTTTTTTGAGATGGAGTTTAGCTGTTGTTGCCTAAGCCATAGTGCAATGGCACAATCTTGGCTCACTGCAACCTCCGCCTCCTGGGTTCAAGCGATTCTCCTGAGTAGCTGGGATTATAGGTACCTGTCACCATGCCTGGTTAATTTTTTGTATTTTTTTTTTTTTTCTGAGATGGAGTTTCGCTCTTCTTACCCAGGCTGGAATGCAATGGCGCGATCTTGGCTCACCGCAACTTCCGCCTCCTGGGTTCAGGCAATTCTCCTGCCTCAGCCTCCTGAGTAGCTGGGATTACAGGCACGCGCCACCATGCCCAGCTAATTTTTTGTATTTTTAGTAGAGACGGGGTTTCACCATGTTGACCAGGATATTCTCGATCTCTTGACCTCGTGATCACCCACCTTGGCTCCCAAAGTGCTGGGATTACAGGTGTGAGCCACAGCGCCCGGCCTAATTTTTTATATTTTTAGTAGAACCGGGTTTTCACCATGATAGCCAGGCTGGTCTTGAACTCCGGACCTCAGATGATCTGCCTCCCAGAGTGCTGGGATTACAGGCATGAGCCACCACGCCTGGTCAACTCTTTCTTCTCTAACCTGCAACTAACTGATCTGGAGTCTTTTATATCTCTTATTATAGGTAAGAAGTGATTTTAAGGGATTCTGCTTTGGGATGTGTGTTTGTAGGTTTTTGTTTGTTTAAATTGGCTATGTAACAGCATCCATCAGACCACCAAACATAATTTTGAAATGTAGAGTATGATTTAGATTAAATTTAAGAATTTTTAAATTCCTTCTGATAATGGGATGACACTTGAAAAAATAGTCATACTCATTAATGGTTTAATAGGCTACCTGCTTCCAGTGGAAATTGTGTGATTGTGTTTAGGAAAAATTTGATTCACTCAAGAAAGGTTCATTCATTCCACATTGAATTTCTAATTAAAAGAAAAAAAAAGATCCATTTAATATATTCTGGGGTAACCAAGTCTGTAGAGTAGGAGCAACTTATGGTGATTGTTTTTGTTGGTGGGAAGACATTCTAAAGTGAGTCCTCAGTAAACTGCATTTAACAGACAAGAAGTTCTTGTGGGCCGAATGTGGTGGCTCATGCCTGTAATCCCAGCACTTTGGGAGGCCAAGGTGGACGGATCACCTGAGGTTGGGAGTTCAACACCAGCCTGGCCAACATGGTGAAACCCCGTCTCTACTAAAAATACAAAAATTAGCTGGGCGTGTTGGTGGGCATCTGTAATCCTAGCTACTCGGGAGGCTGAGGCAGGAGAATTGATTGGACCTGGGAGGTGGATCTTGCTGTGTCAGCCAGGCTGGAGTGCAGTGGTGTGATCTCAGCTCACTGAAACCTTTGCCTCCCAGGTTCGAACTGTTCTCGTGCCTCAGCCTCCTACGTAGCTGGGATCACAGGCCTGTGCCACTATGTCTGGCTAATTTCTGTATTTTTAATAGAGACGGGGTTTCATCATATTGGCCAGGCTGCTCGAACTCCTGACCTCAAGTGATCCACCTGCCTCGGCCTCCAAAGTACTGGGATTACAGGTGTGAGGCACCAGGCTTGGCTCATTTTTTTGTACTTTTAATAAAGATGGGGTTTCATCATGTTGACCAGGCTGGTCATGAACTCCTGACCTCGGGGGATCTACCTCGGCCTCCCAAAGTGCTGGGATTACAAGTGTGAGCCACAGTGCCTGGCCTGAGATCCTTGATATTTTTTTTTTTTTTTTAGGATTTTTCCTTAAAGTATGTGAAACCCTGAAAACTTGTACGGCTATTTAAAATAAACATGTTGATCTCTTCTTCCTGAAGATGAATCACAGTTGAGTCTTATTTGACCTGAAGTTGTTTTCATTCTTTCTAAACAATAATTTTAGGAGGTAACGGCAGCATGATGTCTCAGACTACATATGCATGCTAGTCTTTCACCTTCGGTTGTCATGTGTTAATGCATGTTTTGTAATAACTAGGATAAATATAAGGGATCCTTGCTTTTGTTTTTATTTTTTTCAGTAACAAATACTTTTAAGAAAACAGATGATTTTGTGTCATCTAATGCGCCAGCTGTCGACCTAGACCACAAATTTAGATGCAAGGTTGTGGACTGTTTAAAATTTTTCCGCAAAGCCAAACTGTTGCACTATCACATGAAATACTTCCATGGAATGGAGAAGTCACTGGAGCCAGAGGAGAGCCCGGGAAAGAGGCATGTCCAAAGCAGGGGCCCTTCAGCTTCAGACAAGCCCAGCCAAGAGACACTGACCAGGAAGCGGGTCTCTGCCAGTTCCCCAAGTAAGTATCTTCATTCTGCATTGTGCATGGATGGCTTTGTTACCTGGTCACAGTGCTTGTGTTTTCTGACACACGAAGCAGGCACTAGGTTTGTTTGTTTCAGTTGAATCCCACAAGTTTGAACCAATTAAGTGATCCTCAGATCGGATCATGGAGCTGTGGCCTTCCTGTAGGAAGCAGGAACACCTAACTCTGAGAGTTACCTTGAGAAAGTTTCTTAGCCTCTGAAGGCCTTGGTCCTTCCAGTATGAGTGGACAGTCAAGCAAAGGGACCTCCTCCAGAAGCCAGCAGGAGAACTCATGCTCAGAGCAGCATGGGTGCCATCGTCCCACTCTCCCGAACCTGTACCTTTTCCTTGCCAGCTGTACAAAAGAGCACGACAACCAAAAGGTGATATGTGATTCTGCTGCCGGGTCCGCGTGTGAATTCTGTTTCATCTTAATTGTCACTGAAGATATTTATAATAGCACGGTTTGCTTTGCATAGAAACCATAATGGTAGTAGTAGGGATTACCATAAAATCTCATTTTATAACTTATTACAGAGAACTTATTTTCTATAGCTTATAAAAATTGAAAAATTACATGTTCACAGGGGAATTTCAGAAGAATTAATGGATTTCCAATAAATTCTACAATCTTCCCAGCTTGTTACCTGCAATTGTAATATCACTACCTACTTCTTAGCTTATAGATTTTCTATTAAAACACCTAGGTATTAAATGGTGTATAGAACTCCTTTTTTAAAAAAATTTATGTTTATTTTTATTTCCTCCTGTGTGGAATATAGAACTCTTAAGACATCAGACAGTGTTCTTAGTAGAGTATCCAATCAGTTTACAGGACAGTGGGGCAGAGCCATGGAGACTAAGGTGAGGTCAGTCTTCATTTTTGCTGTCAAGATTTTGTATGTGCTGTATTATCCATTAGAAAAATAACATGAGGCCCAGTGCGGTGGCTCATGCTTATAATTCTAGCACTTTGGGAGGCTGAGGCAGGTGGATCACCTGAAGTCAGGAGTTCGAGACCAGCCCAGCCAACATGGTGAAACCCTATCGCTACTAAAAATACAGAAATTAGCTGGGTATAGTGGTACATGCCTATAATCCCAGCTACTTGGGGGGCTGAGGCAGGAGGATTGCTTGAACCTGGGAGGTGGAGGTTGCAGTGAGACGAGATCGCGCCATTGCACTTCAGCGTGAGTGACAAGAGTGAAACTCTGTCTCCAAAAAAAGAAAAAAATATATATAATGTGAGCCATATATGTAATTTAAAATTTTCTAGCAGCTATATATTCAAAATGTTAAAGGAAATAGGGGAAATTACTTGTAATAATATATTTTAATTTAGTGTATTCAGAATACACTCATTTTAGCAAGTAATCAATATAAAAATTACTACTGAGCTATTTTATATTATTTTTCTTCTTTTTATTTTATTTTATTTATTTATTTTTTAAAGACGGGGTTTCACCATGTTGGCCAGGCTGCTCTCGGACTCCCAATCTCAGGTGATCCACCCATCTTGGCCTCCCAAAGTGCTGGGATTACAGGCACGAGCCACTGCGCCTGGCCTTCTTTTTTTTTTTTTTAAGTGGAGAGCAAGTCTTGCTATGTTCAGGTCTTGAACTCCTAGGCTGAAGCTACCCATTGTCCTCTGCCTTCCTAAGTGTTAGGATTATAAGCATGAGCCACCATATCTCGCTAATACCCTTTTTCTTATACTGTCTTTAAAATCCAGTGTGTTCTTCATTGCCCTTATGTGAAGAAAAAAATAAAATAAAATCCAGTGTGTAGGCTGGGCGTGGTGACTCACACCTATAATCTCAGCACTTTGGGAAGCTGAGGCAGGTGGATCACAAGGTCAGGAGATCAAGACCATCCTGGCTAACACGGTGAAACTCTGTCTCTACTAAAAATACAAAAAATTAGCTGGATATGGTGGCATGTGCCTGTAGTCCCTGCTACTCAGGAGGCTGAGGCAGGAGAGTCACTTGAACCTGGGAGGCGGAGGTTGCAATGAGCTGAGATGGTGCCACTGCACTCCAGCCTGGGTGACAGAGTGAAACTCTGTCTCAAAGAAAAAAAAAAAAAAATCCAGTGTATATTTTATTCTTAATGAACATCTCATTTCAGACTAGCCACATTTCACGTGCCCAGTAGATACATGTGGCTAGGGGCAACTGAATTTATTGGACCATGTAACTCTTTTATTCCCAGCTATAGGCAGTCAGTCCGGCTGTGCACTTGGTGAGACTAAGCGCTGAGCTAAAAGGAGCTGCCTGAGGAAGACCAGCTAGCCAGTGGCCACCCAGGAAGACTACCTATGTGGGCTCTAGGGCAGGACACCACCTTAATGACTTTACTAGAGTCCTGCTCAGGTGCCCACCAGGTTATAGATATTTCTCAGAGTAGGCTTGTGTGAACCAGACTGTGGTAGACTGATGCCCAAGGCCATTTTCAGTCCTATTTTATTTAATTTTAATTTTAATTTTGAGACACGGTCTTGCTCTGTCACCCAGACTGGAGGGCAGCTATTTCTTTCAAACAAAGCTCACAGCTATCAAAACTTTTCTCTTTCAGCTCAAAACTTCTTTTCTCTGCAAAGGGAAAGTAGCTTATTGAGCATGAGATCAGAGCACTGGAGTTAGAATTGCCTCAGGCTGAAATAGATCAACAACTGCTTATGCCAGGCTCTTTTCTGGGTCCTATTCTACCTGATGCTAGTGATTCTGGTTCTTCCTGGCAGAAAGGAGAAAGGACTTGTTCAGTTCTCAGGCTAGGGCTTCCTTTTGCCTGGGTAGTACTTGGTTCATTCAGCGCCAAACACTGATTCCTTAGGGATATAAGAAGTGTCTTTTACTGACCAATCCTGCTGGCTTGGGTTGGCCATTTTTGTCTTCGAGGTGAGTTTAGATCTGTCTTGTTGATTACATGATGAATTCTGGGGGCAGCCTTATTTCCGAGGCCTTGAAAGACCTGTCATTGAGCTCCTGCCATGTACTGCTTACAGTAGTTACCTGAACCAGGTCTCACCTGGACCAATGACCAACCTAGCTGCATAGGAGTCACTGGGTGACATATTAAAAATACAGATTTCCGGGTTCTGCTTTCCTGACGTTTCAGTTCAGAGGCTCTAAGTTTTGAATCTATAATTTTTTCCTTCCCCTCTACCAAATGTAAAAATGACATATGATTACTATAAGGTTAGTACAAATGAATACTAAGGCAAAAGTAGATCCCTCTCACATTGAATCTTCTACTCCCCTTACATATAATTTTTTTTTTTTTAGATGGCGTCTCACTCTGTCACCCAGGTTGGAGCGCAGTGGCATGATGTTGGCTCACTGCAACCTCCACCTCCTGGGTTCAAGCTATTCTCCTGCCTCAGCCTCCTGAGTAGCTGGGATTACAGGCACCCACCACCATGCCCAGCTAATTTTTGTATTTTTAGTAGAGACAGGATTTCACCAGGTCGGTTAGGCTGGTCTCAAACTCCTGACCTCATGGTCTGCCCCCCTCAGCCTCCCAAAGTGCTGGGATTACAGGCGTGGGCCACCACACCTGGCCTTTTTTTTTGTTTTTAAACATAGAAACGGGATCTCTTTTTTTGAGACATGGTCTTGCTCTGTCACCCATGCTGGAGTGGAGTGGCGCAGTTGCAGCTCACTGTAACCTCGAACTTCCAGGCTCAAGCGATCCTTCCACCTCAGCCTCCTGAGTAGCTGGAACTACAGGTGTGCACCACCACACCCGGCTAATTTTTACTTATTTTTTTTTTTAGAGACAAGGTCTCACTATGTGCCCAGGTTGATCTTAAACTCCTGGACTCAAGCAATCCTCTCGCCTTGGACTCCCAAAATGCTGGCATTATAGGTGTGAGCCACCAGGCCCGGCCAAGACTCAATCTCACTTTGTTGCCCAGGCTGGTCTCAACTCCTGTCTTCAAGCAGTCCTCTAGTCTCGGCTTCCCAAAGTACTGAGATTACAGGTGTAAGCCACTGTGCCTAGCCACATTTCAGCTTCTGATGGATGATATTAATTGCTCTTTAGGAAGCTTATCCCAAGCAGGACGCAGTGGCTGATGCCTGTAATCCTAGAATGTTGGGAGTCTGAGGCAGGCAGATCACTTGAGTACAGAAGTTCAAGACCAGCCTGGCCAACATGGTGAAATCCTGTCTTTACTAAAACTACAAAAATTAGCAGGGCGTGGTGGCACATACCTGTGATCCTAGCTACGTGGGAGGTTGAGGCATGAGAATAGTTCAAACCTGGGAGGCATAGGTTGCAGCGAGCTGAGATCATGCCACCACACTCTATCCTACGTGATAGAGCGAGATCCTTTCTCAAGAAACAAAACAAACAGTAGCTTGTCCCAGTTTGTGGTGTCCTGCCAATAGGCTCTCAATATTAACACCTTTTTTTTTTTGAGACAGCATCTTGCTGTGTTGTCCAGGCTGGTCTCAAATTCCTGGGCTCAAATGATCCTCTCACCCCAGCTTCTTGAGTAGCTGGGATTACAGGTGTGTACCACCGTGCCTGGCTAATCACATTGTATCTCATTTTCTTTATTTATTTATAGCTCAGTCTTCATTTCTTGATGTCACATTTTAAATTATTGCCAATCTGATAGGTGAAAATACTGATTTTAGTATCTTATTTTTTTTCTGAGACAGCGTCTCACTCCATCACGCAGGCTGGAGTGCAGTCGTGCAATCTTGCCTCACTGCAACCTCTGCCTCCCAGGTTTAAGCAATTCTCCACCTTGGTCTCCTGAGTAGCTGGGATTACAGGCACAGGCCACCATGCCTGGCTAATATTTTGTATTTCTGGTAGAGATAGGGTTTCACCATCTTGTCCAGGCTGGTCTTGAACTCCTAACCTCATGATCCACCTGCCTCGGCCTCCCAAAGTGCTGGGATTACAGGCGTGAAGCCACCACTTCTGGCCTGCCTTTTCTTTTTTCCCCCCCTGATACTTTCCCAAATATGTGCATATATA